ATGAGAAGCATGGTTTACAGGGTTCTGATTGGACAATTCATATGAGGCCAGGTTCAAACTCAGGACAGTTTGTGGTTTTTCCCCAAGCTCGACACGCCTGCTGACTTGGCTCTTATCTAGGGTACAAGTTGTTTTTCTGACCTTTTAGTTCCCTGTTCTGGGGCCAGGTGGCCGACCGCAGATACCCTGTTTGTTCCTGTGCCCATGTCCTCTAACTGAACTTTCCCTGTACTTTTCAGGCCTTGCTCAAAATGGCGTTAGGCTAAGCAAGTATGCTGGGGTCTTTCATTCCCCCATTTTCTTATCTCAGGGAATGGAATCCTCCATTCATGGGGAAGAATAGGGATGTGGCTCCATTTCCACCTGGTTGAGTCGTTGGTATTGTTGGGTCAATACCAAGGTCTGAACAGTAGAAACGCGTTCCCTGATAAATTGGACAAGTCTGTTTAGGATACAGGGCCCGAGCGTCAGAAGGAGCAATATTTTCAGAAGGGGTCCCATGAGGGTGGAGATGAGGGTGGTGAGCCAGGGGGACCTTCCGAACCATCCTTCAAACCATCCCTGCTGTTCTTCAAAGAGTTTTTGTCTTTGTTCTAATCTCTTTCTTAATTTAGCCATGCTATCTCTTACCACCCCAGTATGATCCACATAGAAGCAACATTCTTCTTTAAGGGCAGCACATAACCCCCCCTCCTGCAGGAAGAGGAGGTCTAATCCCCTCCGGTTCTGCAGAACTACCTCAGACAGAGAGGTGAGTGACTTTTCCAAGGCACTCACGGATTCCTCCAGTGCCTGGATATCGGTATGCATGGCAGCCTGGAGTTGTCTGAACTGGTTGGTTTCCATGAGGGCAGTGGTACCTGTGCCTATTCCGGCGGCGACTCCTCCCATAGTTAATCCACCTAGTATTAGGGCCAGGGTTAGCGAGACTGGCTCTCTTTTTATACGGGGGACCCCTGTCTCATATCGGGCATAGATATCTTCAGGTGCATGGTAGACTATCTTGGGGTACAGTTCTATGAGCACACAATAATCGGTCGTGTTGGCTAGTATTGAGGGGGAGAGGCATGGTGTAAGTCCAGTGCTACAGGCCCAGTAAGTCCCGTTGGGAGCCACGAGATAGTGGGGTCCTGGAACAAGTGCCTGGGTGCGATTACACAGGTGTTGGTGGGTGTAGGGTACTGTCCCCAGACATAGTCCTTGTCCTGACACCTCGGAGATTGTGAGCTTATGCTGAGGTGTCGAGGCACATCCTGACGGGGGTGAAGAAGAATTGGTGAAGCTTCGGACCACAGCCACACCCTCATAATAGGGAGGTGTGGAGACTAGGCATAACCAGCACTCCTGAGTCCGATTTGGGTTGGTAACATTGAGGGCTGA